TTGCCCTGGCAGGAAGGAGACTGGGGCTCCAGACTGCTCTGAACGCCACCTCCAATCCCACTTTCAACTGAACTGAACCCCAATACCGGGCTCATTGGGGGAGAGCCTAGACTATTTGGTAGCAGGCGAAAATCGAGGGCACCTTTCTCTCAGAGGTGCTTGCAGCGAGTACTGAAGGACCCTGAGTCTCAGGAGCCACATAGGGCGGGGCTGATGGAAGCCAAGGCTGTAGGCTCCACCCTGAAACTCTGCCCCATCAGGGAAGCTGTGAAAATGTGACAATGAAATAGATCACAAACTAAAGAAATGGAGGACAAAAAGCGACTGGATATAGAGTGCAAATCTACGCTTATAAGGTTTTTCAAGAATTTCCTAGAAAAGGTCGATAAGACCTATGAGGATATGAAAAGGGATCAACTAGAATTAATAAGGAATCAACGAGAAATGATAAGGGATCAACAAGAAATAAAGAATACATTGTCTGAAATAAAAAAATATTATACAGAGTCTTAAAAACAGAATAGAAGATCGCAAGAATCAAGTCAAAGAGTTGGAACATAAAGAGCCAGAAGACACTCCTCTGCAGAAGCAAGAAGACAAGAGAATCCAGAAAATTGAAGATAATGTAAGAAACCTCTGGGACAACTTCAAGTGAACCAACATCAGAATTATAGGGGTCCCAGAAGATGAAAGAGAGCAAGATATCGAAAACATACTGAAAGAAATAGTGACAGAGAACTTCCCCCACCTGGTGAAAGAGTTAGACTTACAAGTCTAGGAAGCGCACAGAACTCCAAACAAAAGGAATCCAAAGAGGACCACACCAAGACATATCATAATTAAAATTCCAAGAGCGAAAGACAAAGAGAGAATATTAAAAGCAGCAAGAGCAAAGCAGGTAGTCACCTATAAAGGAGCCCCTATACGATTGTCAGCTGATTTCTCAACAGAAACCATGCAGGCCAGACGGGAATGGCAAGAAATATTCAAGGTGATGAATAGTTAAGAACCTACAGCCAAAGATAATCTACCCAGCAAAGCTATCACTCAGAATCGAAGGTCAGATAAAGAACTTCACTAATAAAAAAAAAAGCTAAAGGAGTTCATCACCACCAAACCAGAATTATATGAATTGATGAAGGGGGTTCTTTAGGAAGAGGAAGAAAATAAAGATAAAAATTATGAACAACAAATACGTAAGTATCAACAAGTGAAACTAAAACCCAAGGGAATTAAAAAACCTGATGAATAATATTAACTAATGAATATCATAGAATCAGAGGTATGGAAGGGGAGTGGACTGACGATTCTCAGGGAAAAGGGGAGTGGGGGGGGGGGGGTGCGGGAAGAGCCTGAACATAAACTGTGCACCTATGGATGAGGACAATGAGGGATGGGGATGGGGAAAGGGCAGAGGATGGGGTGGGAACCTGGTGGAGGGGAGCAATGAAGGGGGAAAAAATGAGGAAAATTTGTAATAATATGAACAATAAAGATTTATTTTTAAAAAATAAAATAAAATGTTCTATTATTTTATGTTAACAACTAGAGGCCCAGTGCTTGAAAATTCATGCACTGGAGGGGGATCCTCAGCCGGCCTGCCCCCTCTGACAGTCCAGGAGCCCTCAGGGGCAGGAGACAACCTGGCGATCAGGGGAAGGTGATGCCCCATCACACCTCTGCTGCTGCCACTGCTGGCAACGCAAGCCTCAGCTGGCCCTGGTTATCTAAGCCTCAGGCAGCCCTGGGCAGCTGGACAGCTGCCATTCCAGGCTTGCCTGCACCACGGGCTGGCCCTGGGTGGCTGGGGGGCTGAGGGAACTGGGGGACTCCAGAGGCTGGCACATGGAGCGGCCAGCCTTGCCACTCAACCTGCCGCCCAGTGGAGCTGAGGGAACTGGGCGCTGCCGTCTTGTGCTGCCATTTTTGAGAGAGTGGCAGTCAATTAGACTCCTTATTGGCTGTGGGTGCCACCATCTTTGAGGGCGGGACAGTCAACTTGCATATTCCCTCTTTATTAGATAGGATTATTCATTTAGTTAAGTCCTTTGTGTTCAGCATGTCTCTATTGAAATAAACATGTTTCTATGAAAATTGAGCTTTTGTTTTTTTTGCAGCTCACATAAACTTAAACCTTGTTTATTTGGTCTGTGTTAGCTTTTGGGTTTGACATGCTTGTCCTGGAGAGAGATCTCAGCTGTGCTGGGTGCCACTGAGAATTCTGGGATCTAATCCCCAAGCTGGGCCCACCAGCAGACACACCAAAACTGAGAAGGGTACCCACATAACATCTGGCTGTGAAAAGCAGCAGGGCAGCTGTCTGCCAGGGAATAACAGCTGAAAATTCAGGCACCCTCTTAAAGGGCCAATGCACAAAAATTCCCTGTGGAGTCACCCACCTTGTGCTCAGGCAGAGGGAAGTGAAGTGGACTGGAGATGTGAGAGCAAAACCCAGGGGATAGAACTCAGAAGGCAGACACCCCAAGTTTCCTAGGTGAGTCATTCCCTCATGCAATGGAAGACATCTTTACCACAGCTTTACCTTTGCCTGCCTGGGGGAAAGGCAGTTGACACACCCTATTGGAAAACATCCTGCCCTGAGGCCACTGAAGAAATTAAAAGTAACAATTAGCCTCCAGGCAGAAGCAACTGCTCCATCCAGTTAAAAAAAAAACTCTCGCCACACCAGAGAATGGTTGCCTGAGGCAATTCAAGTCAGAATCCTATCAGTCTGTAGGCAGAGGTACTACCTATCTGGAGGCTTTGAGCTTTTACCTGATCTAGTTAGTCAGAAACAGCCTTTAACACTGTCCTACCTAGAACAGTTGTCAGCAAACTCATTAGCCAACAGAGCCAAATATCAACAGTACAATGACTGAAATTTCTTTTGAGAGCCAATTTTTTTAAACCTAAACTTCTTCTAACTTCTTCAAAATAGACTCGCCCAGGCCGTGGTATTTTGTGGAAGAGCCACATTCAAAGGGGCCAAAGAGCCACATGTGGCTCGTGAGCCAAAGTTTGACAACCACTGACCTAGAAATTGAGAGGGATAGAGGATCTATAATACCTAATACATAGTCACAAACCCAAACAGAAAGCCATAATGAGGAGGCAAAGAAACAACCCCCAAATGAAAGTACTAGAGCATTCTCCAGAAGAAGAGATAATTAAGCAGAGATAAGAAATTTATCTGAATCAGAGTTCAGAGTAATGATGTTAAAAATGCTCAACAGTATGGAAAAAGATATAATAACTATGAAAAAAGAAAAGTCTGAGATAAAGAATGGCATCACACACATAAAGAACACATTGGGAGGAATACACAGCAGATCAGGGGAAGCTGAGGATTGAATCAGTGAATTAGAAGACGGAGTTGAAAATTTCACTCAATCAGAGAACCAAAAAGAAAAGAAAAAAAAAACAATTAAAAAACAGGAGGACAGCGTAAAGGAGCTGTGGGACAACCTGAAACGTAACAATATTAGAACAGCACGTGTGCCAGAAGAGGCAGAAACAGAGAAAGGTGTTTGAAAACTTCCCTAACCCGGTAAAGGAAAAAGTCACACACATTCAGGAGGCACAGAGAACCCCAAGCAAGAAGAAAATGCTGGGCACTCGGGCTGGGCCAGACAGTGCGGGGCCTCGGCTAAGGAGTCTGAACCCTGGGTGGCAGACGCAGGGAGTCACTGAAGGCCTTTAACAGGGGAGAGAGCCTTACAGCTGAGCCTTAGCTGATCCCAGTCTCCGGGATGAACCAAGAACGTCTTATTTGTTTCCCTTTATGGAATCCCTGGGGAGAAGGGCCTCACATTTTCCATCCAAGTATCTTTTGCATACTTAACACACAACCCATGCATGCACAGTCTCACACACCCAACGAAGACGCCTGGGAAGCACCGTGGGAGCCGGGGCAAGCTGAACCTCCGACAAAGCAAGGTCTCTCGGAGGGGCCTCAACCCCGCTGAGGCGGTGGCCACGGGCCTTTTCACCCAGGAGTGAACAGCTCTGGACAAGAGCGCTGGAACAGCTCTGAGGAGGCCCTTCTGGGTGTTAAGCAGTGAGCCCTTCCGGGGGGGGGGAGGGGTAGGAGCAGCAGGGTGACAGCCCTGGGGAAGGCGAGCCTCATCACCTGCCCGCCATCACGCTGCATTCCTCACAGGTGCATGAGGAGCGGGTACCCAGCCAGGCGGATTCTCCCACCAACCTTGAGCCCCATGTGCCTCAGCAGCCTCTGCCCCTGGGCTCAGGACCCCCCACCCCCCCAATCTAGGCCCCGCTCTTACTGTTGTGGGAGGCTTTGAAGTGATTCTCTCCCCTCTTGTGGGGAGCACATTCCCTATTAAAATCCCAGAAGCCCTCCTGCCCTGCTCTATAAAGCATGAGAGAAACCCAAGGGGCAGTGAAAACATCTAGGCCGAGTGACCAGTCACCGGAAAAGATGCTGGAAACAAGTGGTTTCCCAGTAAACACTTAAGTGGGTTTTCTTATTTTTTTAAGGGATTAACTACTTCCGGGGAGAGCCACTTCCATTCCATAGCCACATTGAACATTTACTATAACTAGTGATCCACAGGAAGAGGATAAAGTAAAAAAAAAAAAAAAAAAAAAAAAAAAAATGCCCTACAGACAACAGGGAATCCAGAAATCCATTCGGCTTTTCCGAAATAAATTTTCCTTCTCACACACTGGTGTGATTCAGTACGAAAAGAAGTTCATATTATCTGAGTCCTCACTCTGTCCAGAGATAGTCTCCATGGCAGGGAATGTGAGCGTCCAGGATTCAAACAAAATAACAATAGCAAAGAAGATTTTCTGCCCTCGGGTGGTTAAGGGTTGGCTATAATATGTTCTGGGTTAGGCTGGAACACCGAAATAAACTTCTGAGATAACTACTTCCAAAATAGTGCACTGCAATGTTTCCATTCGGCTTCCTGTGTGGTGACCCTTTGCTCAGAGGCCTCAGGGGTTCCCTGACGGGCCCCCACCCCACCCAGGCCTACCTGCTGGGCTTCCTCGTGAAAGAGCTCCTGCACGTGAGACATCTGGGCCCTTCTCGCGGGAACCGGGGTCCTGGTGGTCCAGGTGGGGAGGCCTTCTGGAAGGTAAACACCATCCTCAGTCAGGCTGGCTCCTCCTTCCATCTCTCCTGACCGCCCACCCTCCCTCTGCACCAGAGTCCTCCCTCCTCTAGAAACTCCTTCCCTCCCTCTTCAGATCAGCTCATCCCCCAAGGCCCCCTGGGCTCCCGTTGTGCTGCACTAAAGCCCCAGCTGCCCCAGCTCCCTCTTACTTTGCTGAGCTCCTTCCCTGGGCTGGAGATTGGGGGGACCAGCCGCCCAGCCCGTGAGGACACCGTGACACACTCCTCTCCCACCCTCAGAACCCCTTTGTCCAGGGCGAGGGCACCTCCACTCACTAGACCTGGATCCAGGTGGTGAGTGACTGTCAGACCAGGCCACGAGCGGAGTGGGAGAGGGATGGTGAGGAGGTTGTGCTGGGGGTTCCCTCGGAGCAGGGCCAGAGAGGGGTGTGGTGCGGAGAGGCGGGTAAGAAGAGGCTGACTGGAGCATCATTGCCAGGCTGGGTTATCTCACCAGTGAAGCAGAGCCTTCCGGGGCCCCTGCACCAGCTATCCTTGGGGCTAGGACCCCATGCGGGCTCTGAGTCTCCTTCCCTCCAGCAGAAGGCTGGGCTGAGTGAGTGGGGCTCCTGAGCCCTTGGGAGCAGGAGGAAAAGGGAAATGGGGAGAAGGGATGTAGGGTAGAAGAGGTCATGGTCATGTGAGAAGAAGAACATGGCCCATGACAGTGACCAGCGAAGGCAAGGAAGGAGGCACGCTCCCTAAGGAGTATTCAAAGCAAGAGTTGGGGGTTGGGCCAGAACCGGTTTGGCTCAGTGGATAGAGTGTCGGCCTGCGGACTGAGGGGTCTCGGCTTCGATTCCCGTCAAGGGCATGTATCCTGGTTGGGGACACATCCCCAGTGCGGGGTGTGCAGGAGGCAGCTGATCGATGTATCCCTCTCATCAATGTTTCTGGCTTTCTATCCCTCTCCCTTCCTCTCTGTAAAAAAGTCAATAAAATATATATATATATTTTAAAAAGAGTTTGGGGTTGGGGGACCCCTGAGCGCTCAGAGAAGCAGCTGGGGAGAATGAAGTATTAGGCGGGCTGCGGAGGGACCCCCATCCTCAGCACATCCCCCTGCCAGCTCGGCCTGCTGCCCGCGTGCAGAAGGAGCGCTGGTCCTCGCGCAGCCCCTTTGCTCCGGCCCCTGGCCAGCCTGAAAGGACCCCGGGATTTACTGAGACCTGCTGGGGGGGACGGCAGGGGTGCATCTCGGTTGGTGCACCCCCACTTACAGAACCGGGTTCAGCAGAACACAGCCCCCGGCCCGCGCCCAGCCCCGGGGAGCGCCCGGCGGTGCGTGTCCGTGTCCGAGGCCCGTGAGCGGACGCGCGGCGGTGCGCGGGGGGTGCCCGGGAGGTGGGGGTTGGCCTATCTAAGCAGGGAAGGGGCGAGGGGGTGGCAAACGTGCACCCCTTCCCCCAGGACAGAGCCCCTCCGCCGGAGCCCGGCCACCTGCGCGCCCCGCCGCTCCCGCTCACCTGCTCCGGTCCGGCTCCCAGCGCCGCCCGCCCCGCCCCGCCCCGGCCACGTGGCCGCCCGGCGCCGCGGCGCGGGTCCCAGCTGCCCGCTGCCAGGCGGTCCCGCCCGGCGCCCCGGCCACGTCCGCACCCACAAGCCCGGGTCCGGGGGAGAAGGAGGGGCTGGGCCGCAGCGCCGTCTGTCCGCACCCCTGCCGCCCAGGGGGGCTTCGCGCGCCCGGACGGACAGACAGGCAGACAGACCGACCCCGGGCCCGCAGGGAGGGGACGGGATGCTGACCCGGTGTGTGTGTGGGGAGGGGATGGGGGGGGACTGGGGGGCAGGGGTACGGATTGGGCCGCCTGGGGATGGGGCAGGACAGCAGCCTGCTCACTGCAGCCGGGTCCTGCCCGCGAGGGAGAGGCTGGGGCCCGGCTCCCGGGGCCTGCCTCCTGGGCAGGTGCAGGAGCACCCGGATAGCAGGCGGGGAGAAGAAGGAAAACAAAAAAACAAAACACTAAATGAACACAGAGAGAATTTAATATTTTCCTGTCCAATCTGGCATGTTTCCTAAACTTCAATAACTTGCTAGGCTTCCGTGAAATAGGAGGGCAGCTGGGAGCACTTCCCACGCCCACAGGAGCCTTTGTGTGAAAATCCCTAAAAATAGAGGGTTTTATTTTAATAACAAAAGGGAAGCCGGAGCCAGAGCCATGGGAACACTGACAGAGCCCCAGCCTCTCCTGCTCCAGCAGAGGGTGTGGTGTGTGTGTGTGTGTGTGTGTGTGTGTGTAAAGACATAAAACATGAAAGGTGCCATTTTGACCATTGCAAGTGTATGTCAGTGGCATGAATTACACTCACCATGTTGAGCAGTCATCACTGCCATCTCTTTCCAAAACCCTTTCATCACCCCAAACAGAAACTCTGTACCCACGAGGCAGTAACTCTCCAACCCCCGACCCCCAGCCCAGGGTAACCTCCAAACTACCTTGCCTCTGTGAATTCGCTTCCTCGGGAAATTAAACATCGCTGAAATCATACAATATCTGAGCTTTTCTGTCTGGCTTATTTCACTTAGCACAATGTCCTCACAGCTCATCCATCCTTTCTAGCAAAGAGGTCTTTCATAACCCATCTCGGCAAGGGAAAGAACCCTCAAATTACAGACTAGCCACCTGTGAACAAAGGATGACCCCACCGTAATACTGGGATCCACTATATACCCAGATTCACATCTATGTGGCCAATGATGATCTTTATCGTTCACTTTGGGGTCACATATGAGACGTGTGTTTTGATTTGTTTTGCTGCTTCGAGCTCGCTTCCTCTTTGCTGTCACCGTCTGGCGAGGCTCCCTCTGAGGGAGAACCTTACAGAATCCACATTCAATTCCACATCAGCCCGACGTAAAGCATGAGAAAAGGAAACTCGCCCCACTGTTCATAACCACCCACTTCCTGTTAGTCATCATTTCGTAAATGAGAAGGTGCCCTCACAGCTCACAGGCATCTTCTAAACCGAAGAACAATAGTTTTCTTCTGTTCTTCATTTGGAGGCTAGAGAAACCTGTCCATCTTCAAAGAAAGATGCAGATTTATCTTATAACTGGAGGCCCAGGGCACAAAATTCATGCAGGGGGTAGGGGGGAGTGTCCCTTGGCCCAGCCTGCACTGTCTCCAGTGCAGGGACCCCTCGAGGGATGTCCGAGGGCAGTTTTTCACAATCCAGGACTGCTGGCTCCCAACCGCTCACCTGCCTGCCTGCCTGCCTAATCACCCGTAACTGCTTCTACCTGCCTGCCTAATCACCCCCTAACCACTCCCATGCCAGCCCGATTGATGTCTAACTGCTCCCTGCTGGCCCAATTGCCCCTAATTGCCCTCCCCTGCAGGCCTGGTCACTCCCAACTGTCCTCCCCTGCTGGCCCAGACACCCCTAACTGCCCTCCCTTGCCATCCTGGTCGCCCCTAAATGCCCTTCCCTGCAGACCTGGTTGCCCCCAACTGCCCTCCTTTGCCAACCCAGTCTCCCCTAACTGTCCTCCCCTGCAGGCCTGATCGCCCCCAACTGCCCTCCCTTGCAGGCCTGGTCCCTCCCAACTGCTCTCCCCTTGCAGGCCTGGTTGCCCCAAACTGCCTTCCCCTGCTGGCCATCTTGTGGCAGCCATCTTGTGTGTTGGAGTGATAGTCAATTTGCATATTGCCTCTTTAATATATAGGATAATGATACTAACCTTAAAAAAACACTCATGCTGAAAAACAGTATCCTGCATATCCTTTGAACAGAACAATCTGTTTTTAAGATACTACCCTACATGATCTAGTATAAGAATGTTTATTGTCTTAATTTTTAAGAATTAGAACCTAAATGCCCATTAATAGAAAACATTAAATAAGTTATGTAATACTATTACAGCCAGCATTAGAAAGGTGTTTTTGTACATACTTTCATCACCTAGTAAAAGCAGCAAGTTGCAGAATAATGTATGGAGTTTATTTATTAAAAAGCAGTGTATGTATGTACATAGTTTGTATGGAAAAATGAACATCAATCTAATAGTTATCTCTAGGTAGTAGGATTTATATAGTGAGTAAAGACAGAGAGGAAATGTGCTTTGGTGTACAAATTCTGGATTTTTATTGAAATGTTTTTCTTACAAGGAACACATGTGACTTTTGGAATCTGATTTTAAAAGAAAATTCGAAGACAATGTGAGGCAGATTGTATTTTCCAAAGATGGCTGCACTAACCCATCCCATCCCACCAGCTCTTCTTGCATTATGACTTGCCATTCCTCCAGAAAGAGAGGGGGTCTATGTCCCTCCCCTTGAGCCTGAGCGAACCTTTTTTTTTTTTTTTCTTTTTTTTTAAGATATTTTATTGATTTTTACAGAGAGAAAGGAAGAGGAATAGAGAGCTAGAAATGTCGATGAGAGAGAATCATCGATCAGCTGCCTTCTGCACACCCCCTAACGGGGATGTGCCCACAGCCAAGGTACATGCCCTTGACCGGAATCGAACTCAGGCCCCTTCAGTCCACAGGCCGACGCTCTATCCACTGAGCCAAACCGGTTTCGGCCTGAGCAAACCTTTGTAAATGCCTCAACCCAGAGGCATTTTACTCCTGGGTTAGGCCCTAAAGGCGGTGGGGAATCTGTCTGGCATCCTTGCTCTCAGAGCACTTACCCCTGGAATTCCTGCTGGAAGGCAGCCAGGCCACATGGACAGGTCACATAGGGGTGTTCCCACCAATAGCCAGAGTCAACCACCTCACACCTGAGTGTAACGAGCAGTCAGATGGTTCCAGTTCCTGCTGTTAGGTTCTTTCAGCTGAGGTCCCAGACATTGAGCAAAGACAAGCTCCTTATCCAGCCAGGTTAGCTCCATGGATAGAGCATCTGCCCGTGGAATGAAGGGTCCTGGGTTCAATCCCAGTCAGGTTGCAGGCTCAAT